TATATATATATATATATATATTAGCTTAAATATCCTTGAACTCTTCTCCTGTGTATAATATTATTTGGGGGGCCGGTGGTTACTGGGGACTGAAGGCAGGGTACTTCACCACTAAGCCATTAAGTTGTTTAGGGCCTCACTAAATTGCTTGAACTTGTGATTCTCCTGCCTCAGCCTCCCAAGTCACTGGTATAACAGGCCTGCACCACTATGCTCGACATCATGTGTGCAAAACTCTTTATCTCTAGTAAGACCTTGATTTAATTGAGTGTGACTTTGGCTTCTACTTTGATAACCCTCCATGTTCTTCAATGGCATATAATAGATGCTCAATGTATATTGGTTAGTGCCTTAAGGAACTATGGGGGAGCATTCCTTTCTATCATTATTTTTAGGTACATTTTAATCGGAGAGATTATTTCCTATTTCATTCTCCATGAATATTTTCAGCTAATCTAGGCCTTCATTCTTTAAAATGGAATTCTATGTTAATGATTATTGGATCAAGCACTTGGATGATAAGCTGATTCCTTTGTTCTGATAATGGTAACTCTTAGAAGACAATATTGTTCATGCTACTCCCAAACCTACTAAGCCATGCTTTGAAACATTTCAAAAGAAATTGTATCTTACAGAGATCTTCTGTTCATTTCACATTTGGAATAATTTCACTGGGATTTATACAACGTGGAGATGAGATATGGATATGATGTTAAGTTCCAGAATTGATAAATTCTTCATTAAACTTTATTCTGACTCTTGCGTTTATTTTGTATCCTAATTCCAAATAATAAGAAAATGAAATGTCACACATTATTTATTAGTGAATAGTTAAAGACCATGATCAAGGAAGCAGAAATTCCACTTCTATGATTTGTTTTCATTGAGGAAAAAAAAGAATTTTTGGAAAAATTATTGTGTTCACAAATGTTCATCTGCAGAAATAGGAGAATTTCACTTAAACTTTTCCTCAAGTATATATTTTAAAGGTTAAAACATGGATAATAATTTACAATTATATTATGATTGGGTGTAATAATATTGTGGCACTAACTGAAATGGGAGGTCAAATTGTTTTGACTTAATGTGGAACAAATTAGGGGAAACCCACAATTTCTCAGTGTCTGTGTCTACTGAAAATCGACTTCTGTTGGGATCACCTCCAGATCTATAGCATTCTGAGGTCAGACTTGTGAGATAAGAAGTGTGTATGTTTGTGCACACATATGTTTGCACATGTGTGTGTGTGTGTATGTATTGGTATTTGCCCTCAGTTCTTGAAATACAGCTCCTAAAATCCCATAGTTTCCTAGGTGAAAGGGGTGCTAGAAGAATTTTTCATTCTAATGTTTGGTCTTTCAGACTCAGTTTTCTGACACAGAACTCCAAAATCATTTGAAAATTTTTTGGTGATAAGAACATTTTTTGTTTTAATGAGGTGACTTCCGGTGAAGCTGGTTATTAGAAAGGCAAACCACAATTAAAAAAAAATAGTGGGGCTGGGGATATAGCTCCCCATGCACAAGATTTTGGGTTCTGTCCCCAGTGCCACCAAAAAAAAAAAAAAAAAAGGAAAAAGAAAAACTTAGAATTATCAGCCTCACCTCTCATTCTTGGAGGTGGAGGATGCAGAGAGCTTCTGTATATTGAGTTTATAGTCAGATCATGTTCAGCTTCTGGGTTGGTGAATGCATTCACACATTGGGAGGGAGGCATAGCTTAACTCAATGGAGACAGAAACTCCTGAACTTATAACTCTGCCCAACTTTACCCAATGCACGTCTTCTTCTGGCCTCTTGTCTGTAATTTCCATCATGTTCTTTTTTATATAATAAGCTGGTGAACAGAAATGTTTCCATGAGTCTGTAAGCGCTTTTAGCAAAAGAATGTACCAGAGGGAAGGGGTGGGTCATGGAACCTCTAATGTGCAGCCAAGTGAGAAAGTAGTTATAAGTGACCTGGATACCCACCACTTGTGATTGTTACTTAAAGTGGGAGCAGTCTTGTGGGACTGAGCCCTAAACCTGTGAGATCTGAACTAACTCCAAGTAGATAGTTTTGAATCAAATTATGGAATGCCCAGCTGGTGTCTGCAGTGAACTGGAGAACTAAATTTTGGGAGAATCCCCGCCTTGCAATACATACACACACATTTGGTGTCAGAAGGGAGGTATGAGTATACAAGATTCCCTTTCTCCATAACTTACAAATTAGCACCCAGCTCCAGCTATCACACTCCTGCCCTCTGTGACCCTGGATAAGTCATAAACTCTCTTGAGTATCAAGTGCAATATTTGTAACATAAGATGGTAGAGATGATTTTTTTTCTTAATGTGTTTTTCATTGCTGAAACCTCTGAGAAGCTTATGAGAGCAATGGAATACATGTCCATACAGATACTAAAGTTCTGCTAGACTGCAGTGGGATTTCAGCTGCCAAAACCCCCAAAATCTGTAGACCACAGGTAAAGAATCCATGTTGGTGGGACCTCAAATTAGTACAATAACTCTGAAAAGCAGTATAGAGATTCTTCAAAAGATTGGGAATGGAACCACCATATGACGTAGCTATCCTACTCCTTGGTACTTATCCAAAAGCACTAAAACTTTCATACTATAGTGATCCAGACACATCAATGTTTGTAGCAACACAACTCACAATAGCCAAATTATGAAACCAGTCCAGGTGCCTATTGACACCGGGACGGGTAAAGACAATGTGGTATACACACATAAGCCATAAAGAAAAATGAAATTGTGGTGGTTGCTGATAAATGGATGGAAATGGAGAACATCATGCTAAGTGAAATAAGCCAGACTTGGGAGTCAAGGATTGAATGTTTTCTTTCTTATGTGGAAACTAGAACAAAATAAAGAGCCAAAGGGGTGGGGGAGTCCATGAAAATAGAAGAGAGATCAGGGGAGCAGAGGAAGGAGATTGAGAGGGAGGAGGGAATGGGAGAAAGGAGAAACAGTGGAAAGAAATTGACCAAATTATGCTATACAGTGAATTTCACCTTTATGTATATCTGTAAACCACAAATTAAAAAGAACTATAAATAGAAGGAAGATGGCAGTGTAAAGGAAAGGGAACAGGGAGTGGGAGGAGGGGAAGCAAAGAGAAGTACTGGGAACTGAATTGGATCAAATTATATTCCATGCTTGTATGATTATGTCAAAATGAACCTCACTATCGTGTATAACTAATGTTTTTATTATGCACTAATAAAAACAAAAAGTTCATGATCCCGATGATTCTTAGAGACTTGTGTAATAACATCAATGATACTCTGACTATACTTTTATTTGAAATTGGCTTAAATAGTATATTGAGAGACCAAACACCACACAAAGAAAGGAACAGGATATTTATAAGCAGTAAGATATTTCAAGTGCAATACAGATCTGGGTAAGAAGTTTCAGTTTAGGTATTGGGTTGTGATGTTTGGATGTGATTAAAATAACAATGAATTTTATATGCATAAGTGAATAAGTACCACTAATGATGCATTTTAACAGGAATGTTTTCAATGACAAATCCATATTTATTACAAGATGATTAACTTGCGTCCTCTGGCAGTACATGTTCTTATGCCATTCAAAATTTCCATATAGAGAAATATACTAGTTCAAAGATCAGACCGAAACATATTGACTTTCCAATTAATACAGAGGAACTTATCAAATTGAAATATGTATGTTGAACATGATTTTTTAAATAACGTTTTTACATGTAGCATGCACATCGTTAAAAAACATTCATTTGAAATTATTTCACAATTGATTTTGGTTTAATCAATGAAAATTTTCATATTTCTGTTTGAACAGTTCATCCCTTGAGTATAGTGTGAAGCTATTTGCTTATTATTTTAAGCAGTTAAAAGATATTTTTTAAAAAATATAGCTGGGAATAATTAAAGTACAGATTAACATTTTGAATTGTAACATCAAATTCAATTTAAGAAAGTATAATGGAAAGCATGATTCATTTTTCAGAACCAAGGTTTTATTAATGGAAATGAGTAAATAGGAAATGGAAAGAAAGGCAAAAAAATGTTTCTGCAGATTGAAAAGGAATATTTCTAAAAAATATTTCAAATTTACTGAAAAAAATATTGAAAAATTAAAACTTAGGAAAAAGTGCATTAGATTTGGAAGTCTCACAAATTAAAGTGTCAGTATTTTAAGATGTTAGTGTTATATGCTATTTCTATCCAATTTTGAAATGGAATGGAGAAGCCTAAGCTAAAATTATTTGAGGGAATTTTTGAAATTACTTCAGATTGCTGGTAGATATGTAGGGAATAGAAAGGAACTAGATGTTTCTACCTTTTTCTATCAACTAAATGGAAACATTCCAGTTCAAATTGCATGAAGTTAAACAAATGTAACTAATAACAATTTATAGAACAAAATTAAACCAAGATCTACCACAAGTTATACTGAACCATTACTGTCCAGATTTCAATATAAGAATATGAATAAGGCATAGAGCTTAAAATAAGTGAAATAGTACTACAATTTGCAAAAGTTCTGAATGTGTTAATGTATACATACATCACGTGTCCTCTTTTTTCAGATAGAGAAATTATTTTCCAAGAAGTAAAGTAACCCACACCAACCCAGTAGCAAGTGTCAGCACATAGCTTAGAACTCAAGTGTTTTCCTTCAAGCTTCTAAGCTCTTTCCCCTGTGTTTTAGACTTCACAGTAATTTCTACTCTCTTTTGTAACAGAGGCTTGGCTACATTTTTCTCTGGATTGCTTGTGTTCATCAGCTTACATGTACATTTGCAGGGTTAAGAACAGACATTTACTGTCCCTGAATAATTTCAAAGTAAATCCTAGATCAACAGAAATAACATGTTAAGGAAATAGCTACCCATGATATATGTAACTTACTTCAATGTACACACTTTAAAAAAATATGTAAGGGATGTTAAGTAGTGTGAGGAGCCTCTGAATATAAATTCAGTGTTTTCTTCATTCTAGGAAGAAACATAGCATTGTGTAGCTATGCAGCAAAAGTGAAAGAAACTATCAGGCAAGAATCTAATGAATCCAGCCCAGTTTAGATAGCCAATTCAGATAATTTAAGAACAAACACTAATTCCTTCCTGTCACCAGGTCACTCTGCTTAGGCCAGTTTCCTTGCTACAAATACATGTTTATTGTCCAGAAAGCACTCTATCAACTGACCTACTAGTAGAGGAGAGTAGTTACACATAAACTTTAAATATACAATATTTTGCTTTTCATAAAATTTACTAAAACCTGAAGGCCTCTAACAGTTGTGAACATAGTTCTATATCAGGAAGTTGGAAAATACAATGTCATGGGAGTGGGAAAACAACCAGTTTTGCCAAACAATATCACATTTTCCAAAGAGCAGCTCCTCACTGATCTCCCATTGCAGTGGGGAGGGGTTGCAGAGCACAGATGTACACTGCAATCACCTTTCAAACTGCACAGGAGAGTGACAAGTTGAAGGTCCCTGGAGGACTTGGAATTCCACACAAAACTGCCTTCTCTTGTGCCATGGCTTCTTTGCCAGATTAGCCTTGGACACTTTTTGAATATAGCTTTTTAAAAGTAAATAAATAAATAGATAGATAGCTATGCCAGTAAGCTTAGTATGTTTTGGTTATTAAAATTTGTATAGGGCTGGGAGGATAGCTCATTGGTTGAGTGTTTGTTTGGCATGTGTGAAGCCCTGGGTTCCCAGCACCACAAAAACAAGAAAATGTATTTGGTTAATGTATTAACACTATCTACCTATGTTGTAGAATATTATATTGTAATTATTAACTTTTTTGGCTGTGTTTACCAATTACCTAGAAAAATATCATGTTAGTATAGGGTTTTCTATTTTGCAAAGTTATTTTCTAGGCACTATTTCATGTAAATGCAAAGCTCTTTGTTGAAATTTCATTTTTGCTTGTTAGGTGGAGACACTGAGGCTCTGAGACACTGAGAATTTAAGACAGATTACTAACATCACAATACATTTTATTTCAGAGTAGTGATTTAAAAGTCTGGGTGGAGTACAGCAGTTGGTTTTACTACAAATAAATATTTGTGTGTGGCTAATGAAGGTCTGAAATTGGTATGTAGGTGATTTATAAGTAGGCATAGTCTGGTTTCACTCAATACTTCTTTTCTTACCAGGTTATTATTATATTTTATTTTAAAAATTGTCAGTGATAATTACTTCTTAAAATCAACACAACAAACACTTGCACCAACACTCAGAAAACTGGCCAAGCAAAATTTATTGGTCTCATAAATAGGAATTTATATGAACATTGGGTAAAAGAAGTAGAAGGAATGAAATTCTACTAAAGCAAAATAAGTATACATACTGTATTTTATTGACTGTAAAATACTTTAAAGGCTAGTGATGTCTCTTGGTCTTATCAGGGGCACCAATAATAAAAGTTTTTTGCCCAACTATGTGTGACTTCACTTGGCTAATGGATTTAAGATAAAAAAAAAATTATAAGATAAAGCCTGGTTTAACAGACCATCAAATGTGAAAATGTCAATGCAAATAAATGAGATAATTTCAGCCAAGAGAAAATAAAATAAACTAGTCAAATCAAGAAATGGGCTACCCACATTATGATGTAGCATGGTTAAAATGGTTACTGTTGGATTGTATTTTATTCTCCTTTAAACATATTCCATTCACATATATAACTCAAATTTTATTTGAAAAAATAGAATTATCTCTAATTTCTAGAATGTTTATAATAAGAACTACACAAAACAGTATTTGTCAAAGTAAAGACTTACTTTGTAGTTCCTGTAATAAGTTTTGCGATATAAATCATATTGAAGTCCTTTGGTAACAACAAAATAAACTTTGACTTTATAATTTACTCTTAACTACTTTACAAATAGAATTTTTATTATTGTTTTATTAAGTATACCTAATAAATTTGAAAAATATTTCTTCCTTCATGCTTCTTTTTATTAAAAAAAAGGTGTGGGGGAGGGACTAGATCTCTAAAAATAAAATAGATTTGGTTGTCCAACCTGCCTCATGCAGAAACTGTTTCAGACCTAGGAAATTTTTTTAAATGTGGTTATTTGAATTGAGGGTTTTATGACTTATATATGATATTTTTGATTTATTATAATCTACTCTGATCTTTGCTGAAAAAATTATTTTGATAAGTAAACTTTGATGCCATTGAATTTCTCATAATCTAAAATATTAAAAATTATTTTTCCTAAATTATTCAAGACAAAGGTTAAGTATCTTCTATAACCTTAAACATTTATTTATCTGTTAAGGAAAAAGCCACTTGAATTGGACAAAACACCTATATAGTGCTACTATGCCAACTACTGCTCTAATTTCTTGTTCTAATCTCGTCTTCATAACACCCCTCTGGTAGAGGTACTATTATTAAAATATCCATTTTACAGGGAAAAAAACACTAAGGTATAGAGATGTAGTAGGTTGCTAGACCACCTGGTAAGGAAACAGAGCCTCTGGATTCAAACTGAGTCTGGCAACAGAGCAAATGCTCTTGAGTGCTGTGCTATACTGCTTGTCTTATATCACAGGATATTAACGGAAACTGATATAATGTAGGCATAAAAATAGTTTGCTTTTTCATATAGTGCTTAAGTTGTTTAACCATTGTGAATTCCAAACTGTTCATAAACAATTGGTCACAGATGTCTGCATTTTATAAAGTTATTCTGTTTGTTTGGATTAGGTCACTTCTAAGATGAATTTGTCCTCAATGTAGATGAGGATAAAGATGAATTTGTCCTGATCAGGTAAATATAATATATTACCATTTACATTAAATATTGGTTTAAATATAGATATTTAGAGTTTGGGTATGTGTACATTAATAGTGTAAAGAGATCTAGATTCTAGGATGGTATAGTGCCACCATATAGTGGCATACAGTATCACCAAGGAATAGTCTCATGTGCATTTATATTCATAGACACCACATTTTTTCTTTATTCATTAATTAACTGTAAATTAGACTCCATCAATAATTAAAGTCAGGTATTTACAAAAGGCATAGCATAATGTTTTATGGGTAGATGTGAAGTGTCTGAACATTATTTAAATGTGTAAATCAGAATATGGGGCATGTTTATTTTAAAAATGTCAAACACAGTAAAACCACGAATAAATGAAATAAACTTTCTCTGATGTAGAAACATTTTCATGGCCAAATGATTCAATAAAACTTTCTTCTTTCTTCCAACTATTCCAGATCTAGTTGATTAAGAAACAAGAATGTTTACATTTCAAACAATTAGCAATATCTGGCAACTTAGCAACTGGTACAGAACAAGAAATCTGTTCTATTCTTTTACCTTTTGTTTCTCCAAAGAAGGTACTTATTTACTAAAGAAATGTATTTGTATATTCCCAGTATAATAGTAAATTATATTCCTACTATGAAACCAGTTCACAATAAGTCTGAAATAGTTTGTTATTAACAAATAGGTTATATTCTCTTTTTCTTTAATGATAAGTGCACCAAATTTCATATGAAAATTAATATTTATAGAATAGAGATCAAACTTTTCGATGTGAGTAACCAAAACAGTGCATCACTACATCTTGCTAGATAGGAGTTGACTGCATTCTGCTTTTATGATTAAATAATTTGTTGGTTCCAAATTCAGTGACAGGATTACTCCTTGCTTCATTAAAATGCATACGTAGTCAAGGGTATATACTGCCAAACCATCCCTGTTAACATCGCACTTTATGTCACATACAGTGTTATACAAACTGAAATATTGATTAAAAATTTAAAGTAAGCCTTAAGAATAAAATACTAAAGATTTGCATGCATCTTGTATTCGATTTTAATGAAGTTTGGGGTGTCTAATTCATTAATAAAAATAGAGATGGAAATTAGTTTATTCTTTACTATCACATAGTATAAGGGTTATTTAGCTAAATTCCTAACATTTTTTGAGAAACATATTATTTGAACATTATTCATTTCAAACCCTTAGCTAATTTAATGTAAGATTCCTGTCAAACTGAGCAGACTTACTCAGTTTTGCTGTGTGAATCACAAAATATTTCCTTTGAAATACACCTTTGGTTTACAAACAGAGATGGAATTTTTAAAATATCTTTATTTTATTTTTATGTGGTGTTAATGATCGAACCCAGTGCCCTGCACATGCCAGGCGAGCATGCTACCGCTTGAGCCACATCCCCAGCCTGGAATTTTTTTTTAATATTTATTTTTTAGTTGTAGTTGAACACAATATCTTTATTTATTTATTTTTATGTGGTGCTGGGGATTGAACCCAGGGCCTCGCCCATGCTAGGCAAGTGCTCTACCATTTAGCCACAATCTCTGCCAAGATGGAATTTTTAACATTAAATGGAAAATAAGTATATGATGATGTTCTTAGGTACCCACTAGCAACTAATTTTTACAGCTTTGCACTTTTCACTTAGTCATTTCCAGGGGCCAGTGTCAAGGGGGTGGGGCATAGATTGGGAGGAGCATTTCATCTTATCAGCAAAATAACATACTTTGAAATATTTTATATCACACCCATAAATGAGGAGTTCAGAGTATTGAATTAGATTCAAATAGATTCAAGAATCACATGAGGGTAAATAATCTTTAAAAGAGTAGTGAATGTACTTAGTGACATTGTTTACTCAAAACAGGGTAGTAGCAGAAAGAACCAAGAGGGCATGGGTCATGAGAAAAAAATGATTCCCTGTGCCTCTTGCCAACTAACATGCAAGAGTGGATAGCTTTGAATATTGCCTCAACTTCAGTATAAAACATGAGTAATCTGTGTTCAAACCAGTCAAATTATTGTAAGGGGAGTATAAGACACTATTTTGAAAAGAAATTATGTGGCACCATGCAGAACCTAGAGTTCTCTAAGAAGTTGCAGACTTTATAGCCACAAAAAAGCCTCACATTTCTTATGTGACGATAACACTAGGATTCTATAATCATCCACTTTTTATAGTTTTTCATCTGTACCAGCCAGTGCAGGAAGACCGTTAGGCCTAGGTAGATGGAGAGGTAGATTTCTCCCTCTTGACAGAAAACCTCATATAAATTTCCAGGATATTTTAAAGTATATGCTTCTTGAAATACAGTAATCTTTGTGTTTTTCTTCTCCAGATCATTTGAAGGAAGGCATGTTACTCTGAGGAGAACTAGGATTATTATAGTAGAAATGCTTATGGTCAACGTTCAGCCCCTGACTCTGCAGTTAGTGAGAACTAGTGCAAGGCAAGTCTGAAGATTGATGCTTTCTAAGAGAAAAATGCTGTTCTCAATTTCCAAGGTCTCCTCAAGAGAGTCTACATCTTAATTAATCAGAGGAAATGATTAAGAATACATGACAAGAACTCAGTCTAGGTCATAGAAAGAAGCCTCAAACTGAACGAAAGAGGAAATGAGAGGCTATTCTGGTTCTGAAGAAGGAAAAAGCAGGATAAGCAGGTTAAATCCCCACATTCTGGGACTGAATCTTGTGCACAGGTCTGGATTTTGAGGTTGGAAGAACATGCAAATGTGGGAAATTGGTGGAGGGGTAGATACTGTTAGATAGGATTTCCTACTTGGTAAAACTTGTTTCTTAGTTTTTGTTTTCTTTCTTGATGAAAAATTTGCAATTTCAACACAAACTGAATAGTTAGAGAGCTGGCCTTGTTTTGTGCAATTTATTTTGTGTACTTCATCTACTTTCATCATTCAGTCAAAACTTCAAAATTATGTCTGATAAAAACCTGTCTGGATATTAGAGAGGAGGTCATGATCACCTCTAGTTCTTCATGTTTATGACTATCATTTTCACTAATAAGTACAACTTCCTCAAAAAGCTCTTCTTGCTTCCCAAATTAGCTATCTCCAGCTCAACTCTCCATATGAAAGTGGGAGGGAATTTGCTACCATATTTATATAAATTATGCTGCATTCTTGCTTACAAGAGAATCAAACCTACACTCCTTCCTGAAATGCTGGGAAAGGCTACTGATGACCTAGACCTTGATTTGTCCTCACTCATCATTATCCTGTCCCACTCTCTCTCACCACCTTGTGCACATGGCTTCATCTCTTATTTTTGCTATGTTGTTAACTTCTTTGGAACACTCTTCTTCTCTTCCTGCCTCAGACATCTGCTGACCCGACACAATCAACCACTTTTAGATCTTAGAACTGACTTTTTTCAGGATGCCCTTGCCCAGTCTTAAATTTAAGCTTGGTGCTTCTCTCAGGTGCCCCAATAGTTAGCTCCCTGTACCTCCTCCATCATAGCACTCACAGTACAACATGGTGACCATTTCCCTGTCTCTATTTGCCATCCAACTGCAAGCTCAGAGAAGAGACAACTCTAGGATGCTAGACAGTGATCTCTACAAACTGGCAGAATGACTGGAACACAACACAGTAAATGCTTTGTAGTTAGTTGCTAAAGAATAAAATGAAACCTAAAGTAATACTTTTCAATTGTACCCAAAACAAACAAACAAAAGAACACATTATTTTGTTTTGATGTTTTATGACACATTTTTCTTATCTTAACATAGATAACCAAGGGATGACTATGATATGTTTATGTTAACTATTGAGGAAGTTTATAGTTTCAGAGCTAAAAGTGGTATTTTGATTCTACTTTCAAAGTTGGAAGGGACAATTTGGTACTGATCTTTCCATTTTCTTTCTTTTTAAAGTAAAAGTGTTAAAATCTTAAAACACTCAGTTGACAGCTAAACAGAGGTTAAAGATTAGTACTAGATTTTTCTAAACCTGTTAGCCTCAAACTGTAAAATGAAGAGTTTTCTTTTTAAAAAGAAAGCAAAGCTCTGAGCATATTTACTTTTTATGTTTGGGTACTAAGTGATAAATTTTCTAGTAACTAGCATGTCATTAGCATAGCAAATAATCTTTCAGGTTTTGTATCCTATAATGACTGTTGCTTTTAATAATCAAGGAAAATATTTGTTACTATTTACCAGAGCTCTCCATTTAACATTAAAGTATATCTGCTTATTCTAAAATACAAAGAAATTTCATATTTTTTCTTTTATTTTCCTAATATCAAAAAAAGTTGTCTTTCATTTTTAAAAGTATTTTTTTCATAAAAAACCTTTTGCTCTGATTTTTTCTTGTGAACATACATATCTCAGGAAAACTAACATACACACATAATACTAAAGTTAAAAGGAGATACTTTATTGGTCAAAGAGATGAATTCTTAAGGCTGCCATGTGAAAATCTCTTTTTATTCCTGTTCATATCCAACACTTAGCTTACCAATTTAACTATTTTCTGCATAGTATTTTTACCCAATGGAAAACAAGCAGAGTGTATCTTTGCTTTAACAAGAACATGGTAGGGTTGTACTAATTCTTCAAAAATCTTTTTGGTCTTTCTTACAAATTTTAAAGCCCTTAGAAGAAGAAAACTGTTACATAATATATAGTGATTTCAGAGCTCTGGCTAAGAACCTCATTTAGGAAAGTTATAACAGAAGTCCATTGATTGCTTTGCTATTATTAAAAAATAAAATTTTGTGCCTACCAAGTGAACTTAGTGTGGACATAAGTGTTGCCTGGCTTAATAGCTTTAAATGTCTTTGAAATCTAAAACATCAAGGAAAAGAACAACATATCTTAATAAGAATGCAGTTTGGTAGACAGATATCTTAAATATAAGCTTTTCTGGGGGGAGGAGGGTGACAGAAGTTATCTTTAATGGCAAATAGCTTAAAGCCACTGCTGTTTAAAATTGATTCCTAATAAAAACTTAGAGGTAAGTAAATATCATAGACAAGGAAATGTTAAACTTTATATATAATTGACAAGAAGAAATTATTTACAAGGGTTTCACTTAGAATAATTTAGGTTTGGTAAGTTGGATACATTTGGAGTTGATACATTAAGAGCAATTTTAAAAGATAATAACAAGCAATAGTGTAGGTTCTGAAAACTATCTACAATGTTATTTAAATATGTTACTTATATCTGTCTAAATATAGATCATGACCTGATATCACTGTAGTACAGCACGTATTTTCTTTAGAAAGCTGTAAATTTTCTCTAGAGTAATAGGTGTAGGATGCTTTCCTAGTTGCCTAATTCACATTTTTCCTAAGATGCTTTGTCAGTTAAAGCTTTCAGCCACCTTAAAAATAATGCTCTCCTCTTTTCTCTCTGAGTGGTAAGAAAGCAAACAAACCTGTGTTTAACAATAAGGTCAGCGTGACATAAAGCAATGAGAGCTAGTAAATTGAAAATGAGGTTGACATTCTGGGACTAATCCAGCAAGAGTTTTCCAAACTCCACAGCTGCATGAAGCTCCAACAAGCCTGGCGCAGCCTCCAGGCATGTGCCCAGGGCTGGGTCTTGCAATGAGGTCAACTGCAGGAGGGAGCAGATCTCCTTATGTTTTTCGTCCCTTAGCAGCAATCAAGCAGTTGCTGCTATAAACTGCTGCTGTTTAACTTGTCACCATGCCCTTCTGCCAAATTCTTAAATCTTCTCCAGTGATAGGATAGATTAGTAAAAGAAGCTACTCTTGGCTTTTTATTTTCAACTTTTAAGGCCACATTGCTTTAGGCCTAACTCTGGTAGTGTATGTTCTATTAGCCCAGGTAACTAGTGGTTGGTAGAACCTGTTTTCTGAGATTGAATAAGGATATGACCCAACCTAAATGCAATTATTTAGGCTCAGTGCAGCTTGGATTCATATTATAGCATGCAGTTCAGTCCAGGTTGGACTGTCTTCCACAATATGGGTGAGCAGTCAGTTGCCATACTGCAAGTTCTCAGTTGGGAGTTTGCGGACCTGGAAGCGTGGAATAACGCTACATTAAATAGATGGCAGATGCTAGGTAGAGATAAAGATCGTCCTTTTTGTCCAACCTTGAATAAGGAAAACAGTGAAATCATAGTTCCCAGATGATATTCTTAATTAAAATAATTTCATGGCTCAGTCTAGTGAGGGTAAGCCATTTAGGACTTGGCAAACTTGAGCTAGAATATCTGGCTATGTACTTCCTTTAAAACTAGAGATATGGAAATGTTTCACATCTATTGGCTACTTAAAAGGCACATTTTGGGAAAAAGAGTCATTCTCTTGGCTCTTTCATCTCTTGGGGACATGGTTGGTGAGTTATTGGATACCAAGAGAAGATATCTTTAAATCTGAGGGGGAAAAAAGTACTTTTCAAGTGTTGAGGTCTTTTTTGACACAGGCTCTGGAGTTTTAAAAATATTTAAAAGGATTCATACTGTAGCCTGAAAACTTTTGCTTAAATGTTAAGTATAGATCAGAGAAATTGTTTGGGTATTCACAGCAAAATCTAAAAATGTAATAGCTGTCCTGGCAAAGGATACAAGATATCAATCAAAAGTCATATGAAAATCTCTTTTATCATAATGTTACTTCTTCAGGATAGAAATGTTAATTTTGGAATTGATTACTTTCTCACAGCTTCAAGACCCCATTGTTTCCTTGAGTAGAATTATTGCCACAGTAAAAATAACTCAAGCATGCCGTACATAGCACAAATTTTTGAGGGGCCTATGTTCTAGTTAAGTTCTTAATATTTGAAAAATAAAATCACTTAATGTGAATTGGATAATAAAGGATCACACATCAACTGTTCCCTGGGTCTATTAGTTGAGTGAATGTTACAAGTAATTTGAAAATGTCAAAACGGAACGCAAATTAAAAATAAACAGTATATCTTTTCAGGGAAAGAAATCAATTGAATACTTCTAGCCCTAATTTCAAATTGAATCAGTCAAATCTATCATAGTACATAGTGATAGAATTGAAGCAACTGGATTTTCTAGATTTCTGGTCTCATTAGAAAATACAACTGATTAGTTTGAAAAAAAGTATAGCCAGAATCATGGCTTTATGAAAATATAATGATGGCACTTACTGTTGGTTTCTGAACACTTGTTTACTTTGTTTCTTTCCATTTTTATTAATTGCAAAATAGTTGGAAGAGATTTAATAAGAGAGATTACATGACAGGCTCCACTCATCCAGCTCAGAAGGATTGGAGAAGTGGGACACAGCCCCAGGTCCCATCATTAAATACATCACTGTAGCTGTGGATAATTTAAAAAGTCATAGATCAGCCAGACACGGCTATTGAAAAGTTATGATTTGTGCAGAAAACACATTATCTATTATATTAGCATGTCATCCATCTAACAATAAATTATTTTCATATTAAATGTAAAAAAAAGCCTAGTATTGGCTAATCAAAAAGTGCTATATCTTTAAACATTAAAAAATTATCACATCGCAATTAATATTGGAAGTATAATTGCTTCAGATTCAAATGACTTTTCAGACTTTCATAAAGGGAAATATTTTAATTAACTCAACAATCTATTTCATCAACCATGAAGTATTTCCTGATATATGTCTTAGGATTTAATTTTACTTTAGAGCTACCCAAAGGAACATGACCTGAAAAATTAAGATAAAGGTTATGATAACTACATGTAGTAGTTATGTAGTAGTAATGATGACATTAGTAGTAGGGACTTGTATAGTAAAAGATTTAGAGACTAGATATCTTCTATTTGGTAATGTCATGTTCTCTTTGGAATGTTTTTTTTTTTTCTTTTCCTTTCAAAACTTAGCCTTAAATCCTAATGTTTAGACAACTACATTGTGGACTGGGATCAACATCAAAATATCAAACATTCTTATGAGGCTGCAAAACAAACTATCAAATAAAACCCAACCTTGTGGCCAACACATTCTACTTCTTCATAGTTGAATGAAACTAGGAAATTTAAAAATTATCTTAGAAATTAATCTGAAAAAGGATTTGTACTATCAGATTTTTTTTTAATCCAAAGTAACAAGCATTGGATAATAAAATTATCACACATCAACCGGTCCCTTGGGTCCATTAGTAAAAAGGCTAATGACATTTTGATTGTTGACATACCTAAACACATTTACTTATGTCACACAATTAGTAGACTTCCCTTAACTAATATATGGCCTATATTAAAAATATTTCCATTTGGATGACGTTTGTGCAGGAAAATACTGAAAGATTTTTCAGTAAATGAACATATTGATTTAATACAGGTCACACTTTACAATTGAGGGGTTAAGATTTTACTTATTTATTTATTGAACCCAAAGTAGCTTAACTACTGAGCCACATCCCCAGTTCTTTTTATTTTTTTCTTTTGAGACAGGATCTCACTAAGTTGCTGAGGCTGACTTTGATCTTGCAATTCTCCTGCCTCGGCCTTCCCAGCCTCTGGGATTATACAGATGTGCTATCATGCCTTGCAGGATTTATTTTAAATGAGGCATCTTTGTCTGTATTTGTCCCAGCAAAAATATATGTAAATATAATTTCCCTCATCAAATCTCATGAAAGAAAAATACAACAAATTTGATTGTCCACTATTTATCAGACACTGACTTATACCTACAACTGTACTATAACTTTGTTTTTGAGTTATAGTCTTTCTTCAGCTCCAAATTCTCATAAAGCTTATTAACACATTTTCTTATGCTTGGAGTAGGTACCCAATAAATATTTGTTGAATGAATTCCTAAATAAGGAAAATTTTAATTTTTGAGCTTGCAATAAAACATAATTTAGGGCTAATTAAATATAAAAAACAATTGCAATTGTGAAATTTTTCTTAGGGAAGAAAATAATATTCCATTCATTCAATTTTTAAATTAGAAGAGCAAACAAAAGTATTGTTCTTAAGATAGACAGAATGTACTTCTTCTATGTTATAGTCAATAAAGAACAAGATCTGAAAAAAGTAGGGAAAAGGTAGCAAATTTAAAAATGATGAAAAGAAGTGAAGATGGAAACATCATGAGAACAGATGTGAGAAAGTGATGACATCATGAGTACAAAGCCATTCAGCAATGTAACGAAAGAATAATAGAGATCCATGGTGGGCATGGAAGACAAAGCATGTCACTTAACTCTCAAGTCAACAAGCCCTACTGCCCCACTTCAAAGTGCCTCCCAGACTTGCACAAGAGTCAGTATCATAGAACAACACACTACTGTAACTCTGAGGTACACAAAATGGTAGTGAACTCTTAAGGCATTTAAATCACTCTGAAAGACTCAAGACAACTTTATAGAAATGATATTTGACTGAGTTTTGAAAGGTTAATAAATCATGGAATTGTTGCCCAAAGAGGGAAATCTGGGCAAAACAAAACAAAACAAACAAACAAAAAAAACCACTCCCCAAAACAAAAACAAAAACAAAAAAACCCTGTTGGTAACAGACTGGCATTGCTGGAACACAAGATGAATGTATCAAATTGACTAATTAAAATATAATTGTTGAGGATGGAGTCCAGTTTTTTGTTTTTTTTTAAGGTAATGGTATAGTTTTAAAGGTTCACTTTAAATTTTTAATGGGCAACTCTGAGTGCTAAGTAATTGAAAGTCAGTGAACATTTTTAAATGAGGAAATGGAATAATTAGATCTGTTTTAGGAAGATACATTTGGCTTGAAGAGTGGAGAGAGGATATATGTATGTGTATGAAGACCAGGAAGAATCAAATATCAGTCAAGAGTATAATGTATTACACATAAATTCCAGAAAAAGACAAGTATTCCTTATATTGTAAGGAAGAGGCCATTTTGCATAGGCTATTTTGTTGAGGCTATTTGGAATTCTTGGGTTAAACTGTATTTACCAGTTGAAGAAATGGGATAATCAAAATGCATTCGGAAATCAGAAACTTACATATAGAAATTTTTTCTATATTTTTAAAGTTTAATATTCACATTAGCAATTATTAATTTACACAAGAAGATAGGTTTTATTTGTAAGATAGCAATATTTTCTCTTTTGAAGAAACTTAGGAAAAAAAATCTGTTGTTATAAATTTTGCACATACATATATATATGCCTAAAATTGATATAAATTACTTTATAAAAGGAAATAATTGATTTTGATTGCATTTCACCAGCAGTAGGAACTTGGTATACGTACACATTCTATGTGCCAGATAGGTCTAACGAACAGCTGGTACATATACCAAGTACCAAATATATATATGTATATATACACATACATATGTGTGTGTGTATATATACATATATGTATATACTTTCTTTTATATATTTTTCTTTTGTAAAAAAAAGTATCTCCAGTGATTCACCACAGACAAAATTACTCTTGTTTGTCTTCCAAAGGAATATTTTCAATTCAAGTAACAATGTGAATTGTGTGCTTTCTAGTTATTGTAATTGGGTGTACTGTTTTAAGCCATTATCTAGTAATTCCTGAAGCAGCTCTCATAGAATTGGGTCAGAAGCTCTCAACCTGAGTTCATCTATTTCCTGAAGTATCCTTTAGATTTGGATCAGAGGCACTCACAAAATTTTTCAACCTGAGAATCATCTATTATATTTCACTGAAAAACACCATCCTCAAATGTTTGAATAATGGAGGGAAGGAAAAATATATATATATATTTATCCCTTTCTTCTTTTAAGCTTCTTTCCTCCTTTTCTCCTTCCCTTCCTTCTATCTTTGGTTTGAGAAGATGTTAATAAGAAACTCTGGCCAAAAGAAGCATTTGGCAGGAAAGATATTCTTACATTTTACTTTTAAAGATCAGGGAATTGAAAATCAGTAAGATCGAGTGACTTTCTGCATGTCACCAATGATAAGGAATGGAATTAGGTCACAAAAATCTTTTCACCTCTATTTTCTAATTGCAATATTTTATTTGAGGACAATTCCCTCCCCCAAAATATTTAATAAAAAGCCAACAAAAGCCCCAATGCTGTTACTATAACATGGCTACTTATTAATTTCTTTACTAGAGATCCATATTTCTGGCCTGGACAATGATCTTAACATGTGAGTTGTTTTGCCTACTTTGAGAAACATCAATCCATTTTTTTGGTTTTATACTCCATTTCTATATTTTTTCCATTAAAAAATTCTTGAAAATCAAGTTAAGATTATAAATTTTTTGTTTAAAGTTTGCCTGCCATTTAAAGATTCATTTCTCTAAACATAACTAGGAAGGTAAAGTGAGTTATCCATAAGTAGTATATATAATAGATTTTTATTATTACATGTGAATTTTTTTTTCTAAAGTAGAAGATTTGTTTGATGCAAAAGTTAAAAAGTCTCACCTAAATGGTATGAAATAATATGGATAAGACATAATTTACTTCAACAATCTTTCGGTCTTAAAAACTCTAAAAGAAACTATGGGTACACAAGACACTTTTAAAATTTGAATGATGCTTAACAAAGGAAAGTTAGAATCTCACATTTTTTTTTCAAAAATTTACACAATATGATATGTTATAAATGTAAGGCATTCAGAAGAATATAAAAACTAAATACCTCATAACCCTAACCAAAACAATGACATACCACAGATTTAATTTTTTGAAAGAAAACTGACATTCACTTTTTATGAAAGAGAAGAGGTTTCACCATCCCTGCCAAGATCTTGGGTAACTGTGCAGCAATAACTTCAGACATCATTTCTGGAAATTCAACACTCAGTGCCCGGGACTGGATAAATGTGTTCAAGCAGTATAGATGAAGTTGTTTGACAAGCTGTCAGTTTAACAAATGGGTAGGAAATGTAAAAAAATAAATAGATAAGTAGATTTGTATGCTATGCAAACATAACTTATATTTCTAACAATAGAAATACTTGTCAAGACTTTCTCCCTTCCAAACTCAAAATAATTCCCATCACTGTCTAGAATGCGCAAGTATCATATACTCATGTTGCGACATTCTAATACTAAGGAAAGATTTAAAGGGATGAAATTTATCCATGTTTCCACAAAATAACCAAAGTGAACATTTCAGCTTCAAAACAGTTTCAAGTTTTTTCCCCTTTTTTATATATATATATATATGTATATATATACATATATATATATATATACACACACACACACACACACACACATAAGCCTATTGACAATATTACACATATATTTTTTTAACTGAAATTATGACATAAATTCTATTTGTCAATCTGGCTTTTTCATATAATTATATGTTGATGTTTTTATATCAATAACTCAACATTTTAATCAAATTTTAATTTTTATTAAAGTAACTCATGCATGTGATTTTGAAAGTTAAAAAGAACTTCAAGGTTTATAACAAAAACAACAGTAGCAGCAGCAGCAACAAAATTCCTCAGTTCCCTGATGCACTTCTTATTTCAGTTCCCCAGACACAACTAACTTTCTGTATTTTTAAAATCTGTCTTTTGACGTTTATATCTGTATCTCAAATAAACATTTTCTTTTCATTCTGACATTATTGAGGTCGTGCTATGAAAATTGAGGATTTAGTTCTCTTATACTACATACTCTGCTCCTCAACTATATTTTCTCTTCTCCCCATTCTCTGCATACATTTCAATATTTGGCTAAATCAGTTTCCAGCAGTTATATTACAAAGATTTGTATTGTTTCCCTTCTGGATTACATTTCCTTCTTTACATGGCTTGTTTTTAAGTTATAAGAGCCAATCCCGTAGTATTCTTGTTTGCTTTGTTTCTTCATATTGGTACAAAGCCATAGTCAAATTTTCCTGATAGCAATGAAAAAATTCACCTTGCTATGGTTATGCCTACCGGCGGTCTCCCAATAATGATTCCTGAAGCTGGTATCCCAGAATACTTTGTCTTGCTGTTCCTATCTAGACTGCTCTGTACAATTACTAGGGCATCTTTGGCATCACTCTTGGGTTGGATCCTGTACTTCTTTGGCTTATTGTTCTGCTGTGACACATTTTGTGGTAGTTCTCAAGACAGGTTATATTTGACATAAACTCTGAGACTGCATGAATAGAAATACTACTTTTATATTATCATTGCCTCGTTTGGTGAATTGGCTTGAAATCTAATTCTTTAATAATTTTTCTTTTCCATCAAAATTCTAGAGGCATTTCTCATGCATCGTTCCATCTTCTGGCTTCCAGTGTTGCTTTTGAGAAGTCCAATGTCATTCTTAATGTGGAGAATTTGTTTGTGACTCTTTCTTTTGATCTCTAGTATATTTAGGATAGTCTCCTCATTTCTGATATTCTGAATTCACATTTTATAATAATGTACCCTTGTTCAAGTATGCAGTGCCTGTACACCAAGCCCATAGAGTTAGAAAGCTCATATTCTGCAGTTCCAGTAACTTTGATTATTATGTAATTTCCTCTTTTGATTTTTCTCTTATCTGTCTTCTGGAAATTCCTATTAATTGGGGGTGGAAATCCCTAGATTAATTCCTTAAATTTGCTCTCTCTCCTAATTTTTCTTGAATTAATTTTTAAATTATTTTCTGAGAGTTTATATTTTATCCCTCTTGTTGAATTTTTAATTTCTTCTCTATATTTAATCATCCAAAAGCATTTTTCTTGCTCAATGTTCATTTTTTAATATTCTCCTTTCTTAGACAAAATATCATTCTTATTTCTCTGAGGGGCTTAAAAGTGTTCTTTTGTTGTCTGTACTGATGTTTGTTCCTTCAAGCTGCTTTTTTCCTGCTTATTTAGTTGTCTGCTTTGCATTTTAGAGGCTTCACTTGAATAGCTCACACTCTTGGCAATCTATTCATATTCAGAAGTAAGGACTCAAAGTTGACCTGGTGAGTAGATAGCCTTTTTTTTTTTTATGGCTTAACTGTCATTTTAATGTGGTTTCTGAGCATTGCAGCAATAAAAACTTCTATTCAATATGTCTTGACTAACCACATATGTTTTGTTTTAATAATCCAGTTCTGGTGTTGGACATTTTTGGGTTGTTCATCACAGCAGAGAAAAAAAAAATCCAGAAAGAATTTAAAAACTTAAATTCTTGCCTAATTATGTCTTTAAGGTAAATTCTGAAAAATAAAACCTTGAAAAGCATGCAGATTTTAGCTCTTGCTATATAGTGCCTGATTTCCCAACAGCCATGTTATTTAGAATTCCACATCAATGGTAGATTATTATTTTCTACATCCATACTTTTGCTTTTATTACCTATATAAAAAACTTTGCTAATTTTAAGCAAAATATTTTAGAACATATTCTGGGAAATGTATCCTAATTCCTACCAGCCATTAAATTACTCTTAGGTTATATAAATACTAATAAAGGGCTATTTCAGTGATCTACACTGAAAATGAAAAAAAAGCTCAATATCATATCAACAGTATGATATCAGAACTCTTTAAACCAGGAACGCAAATACAAATTTGATGAAAACATATCAAGTAAAATTTAGATTTAACATTTTAAAAAGTTAGATAAATCTAGAGAACAAGTACTGATATCCTGGGGAGCAAAATACTTACATCATGCAAGCTATCCAGAAGTTTTGTAAGTTGATAGAAGCGCTGTGAACTAGAGACAACTCCTTTCTGCCTCAAACCAATTGCTTTGATGAGCTCTCTAATGTAGCTTGATCTCATGTCATCAAACTGGCTTTGGCTTCTTAGTCCTTCCAAAGGAACTGTAGGAAGATAATTACAAGTGGCAGTTATGTTAAAAAGATAACACTAACAACTTATACATTTCTGAGCTAGATGATTTCTTTTATATGTAATCCTAATAAAACCACCTCAAGTAGGGAAAAGACAGTGGTATGGATAACATCAGTATATGTAAACTTCTAATTCTGAAAGAATATAAGACCAACTAGGCAAATTAAAGAACATTTCAGCTTACCTGTTTCTGACCTGTATTATGAATTTAACTTAGCATTTACTCAGAAAAGCACCAGAATTTATTCCATCATCCTACCTCAAATACATGGTTTGATTTGGTTTATAAATGTACTCTGGCTCTTTTTTTTTTTTTTTTAACAAATGATTGGGTTTCTTTGAAATTTCTTCTTCATGCAAATCTCAAATATTTTTCATTAAGATTATTCCCAGATAAGCTGTCTTTTTCTCTTTTTGTCATTTTAACATTGCTTTACTAAATTTTCTAATGCCTATCTGCTGATATAGGGAGAAAGCTATTAACATTTGAATATTACTCTTAGATGCAGACACCTAGTTGTAGTCTATTTTTAATTCAAGCAATTTTTGGTGGATAATCTTGATTTTCTTGGTATTCAAAAATATAACATTCAAATATTTCATTTTCATTTCCAATAGTTGTAGTTCTCATTTCTGCCTCACAGTTCATTGCATTGTTTCAACATTTATGGAACAATATTAAATACTGAGTGTGAAAACTCAGTATTTTAGTCTTGATTTAATGAAAATGCCAATTATTCTCCTTACAATATCAACTAATAACTTGGATATTTATCTCTGAAATCTGTAATTCCTGTATGCAGATCTTAGGCATAACTACTAGTTCTTGTATTTTCACTTCATTATCAATTCCACCATTGTTTTCTCATAAATCTTTTAGGTCCTTCTGCTATCACTGATCTAAGACACCCTGGTTGATTTCTCTAGCAATTATACCACCAGTGAAGGGTTATGGAAAATAATATTCCTATAAAATTTATCTCATCTCCGGAGGAGGTAGGGACATTAGCCAAACATTAAACCTCTCTCAAGTGAATCTTTTCCCAGTAACAATGGTCCCTCAGGGAAGGAAAGCAAACTTTCATCCCTTCCTAACCACTATGGGTCCTGAAGGGAGGAGGTTGATACTGAAACTGAAATGCAGGGCCCTGGACTTTTACCCTTTCACCATTGCCCATGAGTCCTGGAAGGAGGAAAATCCAAGAAATAGGGAAGCTCTGGCTAACAGCGGGTCCGGAGGAAGAAGATAAGCAGTGAACGCTGAGTTCTGAACTTTGCCCAGTGACGATGAGTTTCAGACTTTTTACAACTTTTTACCTGACTGCCCAAAGGACACATTCTGTTTCAGTCTCCAATGATAAATTCACCCTCATTGTGAACTATAAAACTCAGACTCCTTCTGTAACTGGTGTGCCATTTTTGTACCCAGAAAATGAGCCCTCCTGTGCCTGACTGATTGACTCTGCTGTGGAATACAAGAAAGCTTGCTGATCCATTTGAGGTCTGCTTCTGTCCCAGTTATTTGTGTTTTCATAATGGTACCAAAACCGTGTTGGTTATTTTTGTTTACAACCAGTACCAATTTCCTCCTTGCTTCATTTTTTTTTCCTTTAGCTATACTTTTCCTACAAACAAATGTTCAACTTTAAGTGTATCATCTGCTTTTCCTGTAGCTATATCCATTACTGAAAGAAAAATAACAAAATCTCTTAATTTATGTTACTATACATCCATGATCTTGACCCTTAATAATATTTTTATAAAGAAATTATCTTGGTTTAAAGGTAAATGTGTGTGCTCAGCAAGAAGGAAAATACTTCTTAAAAACTACTATTTATCTTTTGCATCCCAATCAGACCTTGAAGTCCACTCTTCTCTGAAAAGAATATCACACATACAAGCCAAAGGGTAACCAAGAAGTTAATTATTCAACTTTGAGTTTCCAAATGCTCAGATTCTGAATATAAACAGGTCTCTGGACAGGTGACAGCAATATGCAGTTTTTGCTCAGGTGAAAATTCCTGTATGACACATATATGTAAATAGTATGTGTTCATCTATAAACTCTTCTTTCAAGTTTCTTCATATTACCGTTTTTTTTTCAAACTTGGACACCTCTCTAAGGTTTCCAAACAATCCTGTATCTCCCTCACTCTTAATGAATATAAACCATTATTCTTGATATTTTCTTGGTAAATCCACTTACTAAGATTAAGTGTAGTTTTGTGGGGAACAATAGTAAATATATGCATTTTAATCAGTCATCTGTTCCTGGAGATCTGTATTTTAATTTTTAGAGGCAAATAGGAGGTTAAACTTTTAAAACATCATATCATTGAAACTTTTTCATTGACACTTTTACCACTGGATTTAATTTTACAAAGTTATTTCCTATCTGATATTTGAAAATAATTTATATTTCTTCTAGTTTGTTTTCCCTCATATGTTTATAATTCTTATCTATTTATCCTTCTAGATTCAAAGATGGATTTATAATAATTTTGCTAATTTATTCTCCCAGCCAATTGATATTTGTGCCACTAGAAGGAAGTCACTGCAAAAATGCTGATGAGAAAGACACTTGGTGCAACTCAACCCAAGGCCTTAGCTCCCTGTGGTTCTCTTCCAATCACTTCCAATAAGGAAGCATAGATTTGTACATTTGAAAGTTGAACATCCCTGTGCATTGAAAGGGCACAGAAAAGTGTAAACAGCTCTTTTTCCATTAATTTTTTTAAATTTTCCCTAACCACACCCCCTTAGGAATCTACTGAGGTAGAGGCGAATGTATTCTTTGTGTATGAGAAAAAATGAAGTTGATATCTGCCCTTTCTTTGGTGACCAATACTCGGGTTCATGTCATTCCTTCTGGCTCCAGGGCATCCAGCCAGGCAGCATGTCCCAGCGTTTACTGCAGGCAGGTGGACCATGGAATGAAGGTGGAAATGGTGCATGACACTTTCAAATCATACCTCCAAATTTGCTCACTCAGTTCTAATTTCTAGTCAGAAGCAATGGTGCACTCCAAGCCACTGAAAGGTGGAGCCGCTTGATGGAAGGAGCATGGGTTTTTCTGCTTACCCCACTGGACTGTGTGTGTGTGAACGACAAAACACAGTGTGAATGTACTAAGCTGCTGAATTTCATATCTATTTGTTGCAATGGTTAGTCTATCTTGATATAAGGAGAATAGTTACATACAAAATAGATTTTTTGTATATTTTATATATAGTAAATACTTTTGTGAGTGGTTATAAAAGGAAGCATAGGTTGTGTTTATGTAATGTTAATCAGAGTACAATATTAAATTAGGTGAACATAAAAAAATATAATCATATTTTATCTAAAATAAACAAATTGGTTAGCTCATTCTATATTATAATGGTAGGTAAAATATGACAAAAGATGAAGTCATTTTATTAATGTCTATGACAATATATTAGATATTGTTCCTTTACAGTTACAATCTAAGATTTATACCTCATATATATTATATGATATTGTTTGAGACCTTCCTAATGAATTTAAAGTTAAGAAACTAAATATCATTTATTAAGTTACTCATACTCACTTGTATTAAGAAGTAGCAATACTTTCATACAGAGGAATTCTTCATGGCTAATTTGAAGCTTGACAAATTCCTGTGGGATCTGCCACATGGTAAGGCATAAAGAATAGAAGGACAACTCCTTCATCCGCTGCCTTGCACCACACATAACACATAAAAGAAAAAGCAATAGGTGAAAAAAACAGTGTTTCTGCCAGTTCATGTAATATATCAGGGAATATGATTTTTACAATTATTTCTCATATTATTGATTATGACTAATATTTTTTAATAAGCAATAAATATTTGGAGTTTTCAACATCTTTAAGTTTTTTTATAGTACAATACTAAATATTTGGTGTTATGATATTTTAAAATTAGAAAATCCTATTAGATGCACATAGACCAAAATTAATATTGTTTCTTTTATAATAAAATTTTAAATACCTAAACCAAGAAAGGAAAACAAAATTGTAGAATTTGAGAATGTACAGGCAAAGAATGCTCAGAAATGCTTTATTTACTGTTGATTTTTTTCTATGAAAGCATATCTCTGTGTGTGTGTATGTGTGTGTGTACACACATAATTTTGTGTGTAATTCACATGAGAATTGCCTTAGTTTGCAGAAAGTAACCACTCTGTGACCTTTTCTAGGGGAAATGTATGGTGACATAGAGGATAAAAGAGAATGTTAGCAAGCATATAATAATTCATAAGCTCAAACACCAATTCTGAAGGTTGAGGACATTTATTTTTTAACCCTGTGCTATTTTATAATGTTCACATCAATCAAATTATGCTAACAGAAACAGTGAAAAAGATACTAGGTTTTGACTCAAAAGAGTTGAGATTAATCCTGATTCTTTAGCAGGGTGTGTGTGTGTATGTGTGTGTGTATTCATTATAGTTGTACATATTGATGAGATTTGCTGTTATCTGTTTGTACAGACATAAATCTACTAATATAATTTGGCCAATATCGATCCCCAGCATTTCCTTCCTCCCTCTGTATCTCTCACATCTGGATCCCTTTTCTCTATTGATCTCCCCTTCATTTTTAGGAGATCTACCTCCAACTTTGTTTTTCTTTTTCCTCTCTAACTTCTGCATATGAGCAAAAATGACCCTTAACCTAAGCCTTGGTTTCTTGAAGGATGCTAATTTCTTATAATCAAGGCCTTGTAAGATAAAACAGAATGAAATATGAAAATTACCATAAACTATGAAAACTTACACAAGGTATAAGTTACTAATTTAAATACTTGTAAGTCATCATTCACCATTAGAACATCACAAGTATTGCGATGAAAAGATTTTTAATTTGGTCATATGTAGAAAATTAATTGATTATTTATGTATAATAAGGCAAAATTAAATATTTATCTTTTCAGTTTTTAAAATAAATTACAAGCCCAGTTTTCCTGTAAGAAAAAAGATGTTTTTACTTTTTGAAGTTAAGTCAATACTTTAAAAAATATTTCTAATTTATTTCATTATCTTCATTATACTAAGGGATGAAATTTTAACTTTATAAAGTAAATACTTGATGTTGTCTTTAAAGCCTATTTCTTGGCATAATTTTGAAGAATTTAAAATTTTTTATTTGAAACAATAATAAATATTGAAACAAAAAGAAAAAATATCAAATTACTGATACAAATGATATGATTTTTATTAAGACTGTATTATCAAGTTGTATCCTGAAGTAATTCTGAAAAATACTTAAGGAAATTCCATTATTTAAGATAATAAATGTATAGTCATTTACTGAAATTTAATTTTGAAGATTATGTTGCAAACACACTTGTGATGATAACAAGACAACAATATTTACTACTTACTCATTTAGTATAAGATCAGGTGCAAAATATAACATCTGCCCACTGACATGTTTGTAGGATCTCCATCCTAGTCCAAACACCATTAAGCTCATCCAAGAGTACTGAATGAGAGTTATCTGATCATCAATATGTAAGTTTCTAAAACCTACAAAACAATTTTAAAATGAAATGATCACTTATGTAAAAAATGTAGAAAATACATAGAAGTTTAAAAACAGATATAATTAGGGTTTCAAATCTTAATATAATTTTTCCTAAAATCAGGAACTCATCAATCACTCATCTCTCATTCTTGCAATACCCATTTATTGAGACCTGTAAGTGTGCCAGGCACCTTGTTAAAATGCTGGGGTTATAAAGATGAAGATCAATCTTCACCCTTAACAGAAACTCACCACTCAACAGGAGAGACAAGCATAGGGGAGCAGTGATGAGAAAGCTAAGAGGGAGCATACCAGTCAATCAGAAGGCAGGCCAGGCAAAGCTTCCTGAAAGACCAAGAGCTGATGACTGAGTGATATTCAGTTTGTTGAGTAATCTCAATTGTGGGGAATTTAAACATAAATTGGTTTTAGTTTATAAAACCAGTATATCTAAATTTCTAGCAATGCTTATATATCATAGATTCCAGAAGTTTGGGGTCAAATTTTTTTATTTTATACTTTTAAAATTTGTTCTTATTAGTTATACATGACAGTAGAATGTATTTTGACATATTATGCATATAAGAAGAATTATTTCCCATTCTTCTGGTTGTACATATTATGGAATTACATTGGTCATATATTCATAGATGCACATAGGAAAGTAATGTTTGATTCATTTTACTATCTTTCCTATTTCCATTCAACCTCCCTTCATTAATTCCCCTTTGTCTAATCCAGAGTACTTCTATTTTCCCTACCCACTTTCACCTATTGTGATTTAGCATCCACCTGTCAGAAAAAAACATTTGGCCTTTTGTTCTTTGGGATTGGCTTATTTCACTTAGCATGAGAGTCTCCAGTTCCATCCATTTACCTGCAAATCCCATAATTTCATTTTTCTTTATAGCTGAATAGTATTACATTGTGTAAATGTACCACATTTTCTTTATCCATTCATCTATTGAAGTTAACTAGGCTTATTCCATAATTTAACTATTATGAATTGAGCTGCTATAAACATTAATGTGGCAGTGACACGGTAGTTTGCTGATTTTAAGTCATTTGGGTATATGCCAAGGAGTGGGATAACTGGGTCAAATGGTGGTTCCATTCTGACTTTTCTAGAGAATTTCCATACCACCTTCCAGAGTGGTTGCACTAATCTGCAGTCCCACTAGCAATGTATGAGTGAAATTTTGTCTCTATATCCTCCCTGATATTTATTGTTACTTGCATTCTTGATATTTGTCATTCTGACTGGAATGAGATGGAATCTCAGTATAGTTTTAATTTACATTTCCCTAAATGCTAGAGATGTTGAAAATTTTTTCATATATTTGTTGACTGATTGTATTTCTTTTTCTGTGAAGTGCCTGTTCAGTTCCTTTGGGCATTTATTGATTGGGTTATTTGTTTTGTGGTGTTAAGATTTTTAGTTCTTTGTATATCCTAGAGATTAATATTCTATCTGAGGTGCAGGTGGCAAAAATTTTCTGATTCTATAGGTTCTCTCTTCACATTTTTAAAAATCCTATCTTAATTTAAACATCTATGTGATTTAGAGTTGTGCATATGTGTGTATGCACAAATGCTTTGATCTTTCACCCTCTTTCAGGCCCTTGTCTGGTTTTGGTGGCAGAGAGAGAATGGTAGCAAAAGGCAAAATGTGTTTTGACTTAGTGGTTGTAGTTCTTCTTTTTATCTTTTCCCATTTCTTTGAAGAAGAGCATCTGTTCAGCACTGAAGAACTTAAGAGAGGGAGAAGCAAAGATGTCTCTGGAGATGTAGACTGGGGTTGAAGCTTGGAGGGTCTTGTATGTCAATCAGTAGCAAAAGGAGAGACATGGCCTACATGTGTTTTAGGAAGATTCTTAGTAGCTATGAGGAAAGTGGATTCATGGAGCAAGTACTCAAATTAGGGAAAGCAGTTGGCAATCAGATGAAAGATGATGACAGTCTTATCTTAAATTGATATGAAGGAATTGAAAGAAAGAGATACTTCAGAGAGATATTTAAAATGCAAAATCAAAGAGATTTGGCAACTAATTGTATGTAAGGGTGAAGAAGAACTCAAATACATGTATCAGCATATTCACCTGAATTCTATAGTGGTGGCAGCATTGCTGAGATAAAGGAGAAGAAACAGGATAGGGAGAAAATAGTAAATATGAATATGTTTGAGGAACCTCACAAATATCTAGATAGCAGTTGAGCATGTGAATTAGGATAGGGAGATATCTGGGCTAGAAATATAAATTTGGAGATTATTTGTATCTGATTGTAGTAGAAACAAGAAAGTGGATGAAATATTTTATTAAATTTTAGGAGGAAAATATGTTTTGATATAAACATCAACCACTTTCTTTAAAGCTCTTTGACTAATAACTGTTTTACCTAAAAAATCCATTGAAATCCACTCAATTCATTGAAATTACTCAATTCAAAAGTAATATTAAAGCAAAACTTAATTTATTTGATACTAAGAGCAAAATAAATTAATGTCTTGACTACATTAGACATTTCAAGGAATTATCAAAACTTGATTTCAAGGAATTATCAAGGCTATCTTCTCTCACACACTCAAGATGGTCCCATCTCATGTGAACATCAGGAAGGCTGATGCTCTCTCTTGAGAACTCATTAACCTCACTGGGACTGCAAAGAAATCTAGAGCATGTTACAACTAGGGATATTACAGCAGCAGTTTTCCTCTTGGGGAATGGGCTCTTCGTTGTCTAACTTCCTTCCTTTCTTCCTCAGTGCAGTACAGATCACCCTGGTTGCAGTTTGGTGAAAGCATGTGCCCCACCTTTCCACAAAGGAAGTTGGCTAAAAGCTCTGCTTCCCTGGGCTTATGGCTTGGGTCTGGCCTCTGGATAAGGTACTTTGAATCAGGATTAGTAAATCAGGGTTAGTAAAGCAAAGACAAAACATACTGTTATTAAATCTTGACAGCAGTAGTGCCTGGTGGAGGCACTAAGTGATAAGGAATCCAAAGGGTTTGTTTGTCATGCTAACTTATGCCTCAGTTTCTACCATATTCCAAGTTTGTTCTCTAGTTTCTATTCAATGACTCCCTATTGATCTCCCAGTAATTTCCCCCCCTTTTTTAAAACTAGAGTTTTTGTTTGTTTGTTTTTATAAATAACTGTTTTGTTGTTGTTGGCTTCCAAGAATTCTGATTTATTCAGGTGCAGAAAGACTCCCTACATAACCAGCCAATAAAAATTTGGCATGCAGTTTTCACAGTACTTTATATTAATATGACTTAAACTCACCTTCAAGTACATGTCTATATATAATGTGTCTTTTAGAAACAAAACTGAGTATCAACACAATAAATCTAGAACACAAAATCTTGTCAGTTGAATATTTACAGAAATGGAACATTAATTCTCTGATAAAACTTATAGTGATGAATTTGCCTAACTTGTGAAAAGGAAGACTTCCTAAAGGGAAGCAAGTATTAACCTGTCTATAGCTGTTCTTCTTACATTACAAATAGTTTTGGAGAAAAGAAGTCTTGGTTCTATCACTTGATAAATGCCACTTTGGGCAAGTTATTTGATATGACTGAATCTAAATTTTTTCATGGGTAAAATCACACTGATAGTTCACTGAACTAATTCAATAAGTTGCTATAAGACTCAAATGGATAATTATGCATATCATGGAACACTATGGAGATATTTATTATTAGTCTATGAATGGCTCCTATAACAGAATTGCTTATTAGAATAATATTCCTATGAAGGCCACTAATCAGCCCAATAGGAAGTCTCTATTTTAAAACACAGTGAAATAAAAATTATGTGTCAGGGGACATTTTTCAACAATTATACAACCTGTATAATACAGCTAAAGTATGTTATTAATGGCAGTAAAATTCAAAAGATAAAAATAAGTGATTGGGAATATATATTTTCCAGAAAACATATTTCACATTATTTTATATAAAAAATTATGTACTTCATGTATGTAAATATATAAAATGGCAGTCTTGTAGAGAGTTAGTTTAAACTAATTAGATGTATTAAAACATTAACACATTGTTCATTGTGCTCTCCAAGAATATATTTATTTGGAAACATGGCAGTGGGTGGGGAGGCAGCGATCCCTCCTCCTCCTCAGCCACGTGGACAGAGTGAGACCTCAGAACAATTGGACTCTGTCTGCTGAGAAACTCCCAGCAAAATTCGGCTGAAGTGAGACCTAGGCGGGGAGTTTGGGCTCCCCGAGGCAGCTGCTTGCTCAGACATGGGCAAATCTCAGCCACGCGCACGGAGGTGCTTGCTGACTGTCTGGCAGCCTGCAGACCGAGGCGATTCAGCAGTGCCAGAGACCGTGAGCGGCTTAAAGACAGATGGAGGCATCTGGGCAGAGAAACTGGACCCTTGGAAGAGGCTACCAACCAAGCCTCCACGAGACAGCGGACCAAGAACTGAAGCGAGACAGACCAGAGACAGACCAGACTCTCCCCGCCCCCATCGGACATACCAGCAAGGGAATCCACCATTAGAGAGAGCCGACATCACCAGAGTTCTGCAGTTGGGATCCCTTCCTAGCGCAATCAGCTTCAACAAGTGTGTGACTCCCATCTCACCAGCCCCATACAGCTGGGAAATCTCAATAATCTATCCCCAGATATCCAAGGGTGTGATTGTAGGAGCCCAGGGAAACAGAGGGGACACCTGACCTCCAACTTCCCCTACCACCAGAGGCGACAGGCGAGTTTTTTTTTTTTTTTTCCACCAGCTCCCAGGGCATGGCTACCGAAAGGGAACAGGCAAAATAAGCTGATGGCCCCCAAATCACCGGCTCCACAACCTTGGGGTCTGGGCGAATGGCTAAGAGAGAGAGTGCTTAGTCGCGTTCCCAGCGGGCTGCAAGTGTAACTAGATCTGTGGAGAACCCCACCAGTGAGTGGGCCCTGGCTGGCAGGAGAAGGGGGTAATAGGCTGGAGACCAGAAATGGCCCTGGGCGGCCAGGATTGGAGAG